AAAAGGGACTGACAAAAGAAAAGAGGAGTGAGGAAAGAGTTGAAAATTAGAAAGAAAGAATCATGAAAGGATGAGATTTTATAAGAAAACGAAGAAAAGAAAAATGGATATTTGTTTTATATAAATGTGTTATCAAATAAAACTAATAGGATGCGCTGGTACAATAGTTACTACATTAGTCTTCTATCACAAAAGTTCTGAGTTCAATCCAAAACTTAAAAAAATATTGAGAGGAATGTTGAAAAACCAAAAATCACCGGTTCAACCTGATTCACCGGTTTTGACAGTTTTGATCGGTTTTGACCGGTTTTCTTACAAAGTCAACTTCAGTATAGAACCGAACCAGTGCCACGGCCCATTCGCAATTCAACCGATCAAATCGATTGGTTCGATCCGATTTTCAAAACATTGAATTTTAGAGGGGAAGAGTTTTCCTTCGATTTTGGCCCTAATATATTAAGTTCGTGATTGGGGTATGCAATTCTTAGCTGGAGTTTTGATCGAATTTGATTTATGGGACTAAAGTGGTATATTTCCAAAATATAAGCATTATTTTATGAATTAATCTTCTATACACTGACAGTGTATACACTTTCACCATTAGATGTGTGACATGTAATCCGAATTTGAATTTGAAATTCAAATTTTGCATATGTGTCATATATCCAATTGTGATAGTGTATACATCATCAGTATATAAAAGATTTACTCTTATTTTATACCATTGTAAGTGTAAAAAAATAAGGGACTAATTGGGTCTTTTTTTTTAATTTTTGGGCGAAGGTGCTGGGTACAAAAATCTATTTACCATAGCTGTGAGAATGAAATATGAGGATTTACATTTAATTGATCAGAACTTGATTTTTGGGTGCAGAGATGCTGAGAACATCCATGATAATTTAGCAAGAAAGAAGGAATAAGGACATAGAAGTTTTCTCCTTTCTAGTGGTGGAGTTAAATTCTTATAATTTCTTGTCATCCTCGAGCAAGCTTTTTGAACAACGTTACTTATTTTAAATTCAAATGATCCTCATTTTTAGAGGACAATTGTAAGTTATCTTTGAAATTATAATGAATAAAAATTTCTTTTTCAATCGAAAAAATATCAAATTATACTGTAAACATTAAAAATTATTATGCATATCTTGGTTCAGGTGCTCATTTCCCTTTATCATACAATGTAAAGGAATGGTCTGTCCTTTGGAACATCCAATAAAATTGGAACGATATAGAGAAGATTTGCAAAGACTATGCAAGGGTGACACACAAAAATGAGAAAAAAAAAGGATGGTCTAATTTTTTTATTGGTGTTGGTTGTAGGGTTTGGTATTAAAATACAACTCGAAAAAAGATTGATGAATAAAATGCGTGAATAGTAGAGCACACTTAGCAATTTCCTTTCTCTTGGGCATTGGTCTCCAAAAGACTTCAAAAAGCTCTTCAACCCCTACCCCCCAAAAAACAAAACTAAAAATAATCCCTTAATAGCAGAAGAAATACAACACAGAGTTGATTTACAAGAACTCATCGGATGTACAAGTTATAACTCATGGAAATATGTACTTTTGATTTTAAAACTTCAATCTTAATTACATGACTACTTCACAAAAGACTCATTTGCTAGAAAAAAAAAATACTTGGCAAGCTAGAGTGGTGGCCTGTGGATACTAGCAGTGAAATTACACAAAATAAAGTAGTGGACACCGGGCGGGGGGGGGGGGAAAATTTTTTTTTTCTCTTTTCGACGTGTTTGCAGGAAAGTTAATGAGCTAGGAAAAGGGCCAAAAAAAAAAAAAGGTAATGAAGTGAGATAAAAGCGGACGAATAAAAAAAAAGGTATTAGTGTTTTGAAAGGGAAAGTGTCTCAGTATAAGAAAGCAATAGACATGAGTGTATGTAGTAAAATGATAAATCGTAACAAAAAAAATTTAAAAATGGATTATTCAATTTATTTTCTATATTTAATAATCAACTTAGCTAACGGTTGGTCAATGAGCACTCGTCACAAACATTCAAATGTTAGTTTTTTTTTCGAAAAAATATAGTGAATTTAGGGAGTGTTTAAATACATGAGGCTCAATAATTATGATTAAATTTATTCATAGGGTAATTTAAGTGTAATTTAGTTGTATTAACAAGTTCTCCATTAAAAAAATCTTTTGATAATTATAATTTTTTTTAATGAGAATGGGCATTAGTTAATGCACTTGATTTATACCAAAGATTACAATGTGAAAGCACGTACTTACGCTCCTTGTCCTTCTTGAATTTAAACACTTTCCTTATTTAATTTTAATTTACTAAATAGCTTGCTCATGAGACCTCTCTTGATGGGTACAAGTGATGAATCCATACTTAGGTTCATACCTTAGATTTTCATATAGGAGATTTCTAACGAGTGCCTATAAATCATACCTTATTAGCTACATAAATACACACATTAACAATTATTATCCTATCTTATATTTATATATTTTTTCTAATTAATATTACTTTTTTCAAAATATGAACACCTGAAATCCATTATTGGACATTCGTTTGACAGACTCTTTCATATATAACCATTCTACTCTGAATAACTAACCTGTGATCATTAAAAATTGAACCGAAATTCAAATTAAATAAAATATTTTTATTGATTAAATGCTAGTCAAATTGATTGCAAATTCAAGCATCACAATAGGCAGACCTTTCTGGGATCTACAGCTTCTTTTATCTTGGATCATGCACAATGCAGCAGCATTGAAGACCACTAAATCCCGGAACGCATAAAACATTATTGATGTGTAAGTCCACGTACCCACACTGCTCGATTCAATCATGTGATGGTATCGAACAGAAATCAATAACTGGTGCAGAACTTAAGATTAATAATTGGAAAAATCAATAATGAACTGATAAGTATCCAATCGAAATGGTATTGATATTGATTGAATATAAAGATTACAGAATTGGCGGGAAAAGGAAAGGAATGACAAGAATGAAGGGAAACAGACGGGAAGAATGCTCAGGGAATGATCCCTAACAATGACTAACAAAATCCTGCAATCATGTCTTGTGGTGCATGTACCAACAAACTTGCAATCGCTATACGGTCCATCATCGTCTTCGAGTGCGACAATTCGCACATTAATTGGCTATTGTCGTTTTTTGTTTTTTTTTTTCTTGAGTGGTTTTTGATGTGGAACCGTTTCTAAATGAAACTGATAGAAGACCAACTTTCAAAAAAGATTTACCAACCGTTTGGTTGGTGGGTTTTCTACTCTTCAATGGGTATAGAAAGTGCTTTATACCCATAGATGATGTTTGATATACTTCTATGGGTATTGTTCAATCACAATCAAAAACCCAAAAGTAGGTAATGGTCATTACTGACCAATTTGTGGGGGAATGAACCCCATTGACGAATTTAACACTAAATGACATAAGAAATATACAAAAAAGAATGAAGATACGGCTATCTGTCCATAGCGACGCCAGTCTTTCTTTCTTCTTGTACTCTTTTTTTTCCCCTTTTTTCCTTTTCTTTTTGTGTTTTTGTAAGCATACTCATGTTCCTTCCTTTTCTTTATTCTCTCCTCCAATCTTTTTCTTTCTCTTTTCTCTTGATGGCCAGTAGGTGGCGGTGGTGTTGGTGGCCATTGTTGCTTGGGTGAAGCTTTTTTTTTTTTCTGGCAATTATTGTGACTTTGACAAACTTTTCTTTATGAAACCTTAACACCCTTAATTTTTTGATTTGCAGGCAAAACATAGCGTCACCTTTTGTGTGTGTGTGTGTGTTTTTTTTTTTTTTGGGTCTTCAAGATTTTAAGTTTGACTCCATGTGTTATTGGACAATTTGATGTCAAATTAATTTTAAATTTAACTTCTCCAAAGTGAGATGATTGTTTTGATAGTCATTTGGCTTATAAATTTTTTGAACTAGTTGAAGTGGTGGACTTGCCACGTTGGGGGTGATGGTGGTTGAAGGTGGTTGGGGTTTAGTATTGGAACCTAGGAAGAAGAAGGGGAAATGAAAAAAAATTAAAAAAATTTGAAAACCCATTCCTTTTGATTACAATACCAAACAATCAATAAGGTTTTGGCAATACTCATTGCCATTGAAGAATTTTTGATAGCCATTGCTATTGCTATTCCGTAGTGTATGCCAAACAGCTGGTTAGATATGGCAACCAACTCGCTCGGGTTGGAGAAATGAGGCAGGGGTGGGAGTGGGGGATTTTTCTAACCCCGCCTTAAATGGGGCAAGGGATGGGGGAACATACCACGCTCCATCCCTCGTTTAAATTTTGACGTAGTGTAACATCTATATATGTTTATGTATATATATATACACACACACAACTAGAAGGAATCAGGTTGTGCAAGCATAGCTTAGCTCTACCTATAAAATTCTGGTTAAAATGCATCACATCATAATTTGTTTTCAAATAAAGAGCAATTACAATTCCTAAAAATGAGCCTAAAAAATAAGGTTTATTTTTAGCAAAATGTTTCAAAAGTTTGCTCGCACTTGCTTATTGTAATGTAGTAGAGATATATTGTTGTATTGTATGGACAAATAACAATAAAGAATTTAAAAACCAAACACATGAAAAATGCAAAACCAGTTCAATGTTAACATAAATGGTATATGCTTCATAAAACTCAAACATCATGCTATTATTAACATAACACTCTAAGAGCCAAAGGTGTTACTGTTCATTTGCTTTTTCATCGTCGTCGTCATCGGTATCACGTGCCAAAAGCGTGTCTTATTCTACATTGGTTTTCACGTGACTTTCGTCGTGTTCACTTGATCCTTTTTTCCCGTTCGTTTAGCGCATCGCGCGAGTTCAGATTGTTAGGCCTGTTCTCTAACCCTACGTCAGACTCAAGAATTGAGCCGCCGCTTCTCATCTTCTCCTCTTCCTTTTCTTCTCTATTCTCTCTGTCCATTCCTCTAGGGTTAGATACATCTCTTCTTCTCAAACTCTCTCCGTTCCCTTTCTCTTCCTCTCTTTCTCTCCCCAGCTCTTGCTCGTATTTATTCTGCATTTCTCGACCTGGCTCTTGCCTTCTTCATCTGGACCTCTCAGCAGCTGAGCTTCTCGCACACTTCCGCTACTTTTCAATCGGTCCTCAAATTTCTCTCCATGGCCCATCAGTCACTTATTTGCTCCTTGCAGGCAGGAAAACTCGTATTGCTTTCTCGATTTTCCAACAACTCCTCCGTTCTGCAGCTTTCAAAATCCAATCTGAAATCTGCAATTCACTTCTCGCTGCTCTGTCTTCCGAGGGGAGAACCTAAAGGATGCCCGCAAGGTGTTGGATGAAATGCTTCATAGAGGCTTCGCTTTGACTACAGTTGGTTTCGGTGTGTTCGTATGGCGGTTTTGCAGAAATGCTCAAGTGGGACAGATGTTGAAGTTGTTGGATGAGGTTATTCTCCTTCTCTCCTGCTTTGAGTTTTTTTCTTTTCTTTTCTCTTTTTTTTTTCCTTTTCTTTCACCAACACCGTCTTCTTCATATTGCGACGCCCATTGCTCTCTCTCCCTAAGTGGGTGGTAGTGGAATAGTGGCCGGCGGTGGGCGAATGTTGACCACTAATTATACGCTGAAAACCTTTAAAGCAGGGCATCCGGTGAAATGTTGAAGATCCGCACAAGTTTATATTAGTAGTTCGGTTTGGAATCTCATTACTTGATTCAATGTCACCCCTGATTTTGTTTCTCTTAACTTTTGCCGATGCTTTTCCTTTTTCCCTTTGATTTTACTTTTCTTGCTGGCTTGTGAAGGCTACCAAATTTCTCATTTTCTCTTAAATGTGCTTTGGTTGAGGTTTTCAGTGAAACATATAGGTCTAAGTAGAATAGAAATGTTAACGTTATGATTTTCTCATGGCTATAACAGATCATGAAATCGTCTTGCAATGGAAGGTCATTGGTTTTGTTAATGACTGCTTTCATCATTTTAACAATATCTGTTGTAAAATTGAAACAAATCCGCTATTTCCTTTTTATCATAGTAGGATTCTATAGTTGAATTTCCTACTTTTCTTGTTTTTATTTTTTAAGAATATAAAGGACTTAAAATGAGTGGTTGGTTGAGTTTCTCGGTGCTTTGATTTTCAGGAAAGAAAATAGGAAGAAGATGAGAATATTACTAGGAGAATCAATAGGAGGAGCAGTGGTTCTCCTCTTGCACACGAAGAAGCTAGAGTATTGGGATGGTGTAATACTGGTGGCTCCAATGTGTTTGTTTATCCATATTGGCAGCAAAGAAGTTTTCTTGCTGCAGTATCCTTGGAGTTGATATTGATCGTGGTGAGTTTTACCAGTTTAATCTTTGTGCCCCTCTATTGACTTTTGCATGCATTTTTTCTTCTGAATGTGAATGAGAAAGAGTTTACCATAATGCATGAAAATAGCCTTCCCCGTGTAGTGGCTTATCATGATGTATTTGTCATTTCCTTATTTGATTAAGCTTTTCTTTTTGTAGAATCTTCCGGCACTTTAGTAAGAAATATAATTGCGGTTGTTCTTTTAGTTTTTTTGAGGGAAAGACTTCTGAAATATCTTTTATGTGTTGATCCAAAATGTGTCATTTAATTACTTTAGCTGATGGTGAAGTCTAAATTCCGATTGGGATTTTTCTGGGTTGATTTATGTTATTTTTCTTGCCTCCAAGACTTCTAGCCTATGACTAGATTCTTTTCTCATGGCTATGGGGAAGTCTGCCATTTTACCCATACTTGATTTATGTTATGGGTTGATTTAGGGCAGAATGATTGAGTGTCACAATAGAATTCTTAAGGCAGACTGGGATGCAATCTGGTTTCTCTATTTAGTCGAACCATTTATCTTTGAAACTTTAATTCTACATTATTATTGATATTAGTTTTGGGGATATCGATCTTGATTTCAGACTATCTAATCCCCTACATCTCCACAACATTCTTGAAGACAAATGATTCAGCAAGTCTCAGCTCATGCTTTTACATGCATCTTATCGTTTTACAAATGAAGCATCATATCTAGCTCTAGCTCTGTGTATCCTCAGGTAAGACCTGTTCTGGCTTGTTTCTTTGCTTTGTGAGTCCTTTTATGCTAAGGAATCTACAGTTACAGATCTGCCTTGATTTTAGGTTGGCAATTCCAAAACTTAGTTCCCATGGGATGATATTTTCAGTAAAAGAACTCTTGGATCTTGCTCCAACGTGGAAGGTAAATATTCTGGGTCTTTCAAGATGTATTTAGAGATCAGATTTTGGTTTTTCCTAGGATTAAAAATTTTTTTTGAAAAGAGGGTTCTGTTTAAATCATTGGAAAATCTGTAGATATGATCACAATATAGTGTGCTTCAATGACTCATTATAACCAAAAGTTTCCTTCTGCAAGTGAGAGTGAACTATTGTGCTATAACTGATGTTTTAATGCTTTCTTCCTCAAATGTAGATATATCAGCATCAGCACAATAAACAAATGAGCACTCCTGCGATGGCTCAGTTGCTGTTGAACACCTTTTACTACAAGCGCTTCTTTGCTTACCATGCTTTTATGTTCTGGGGGAGCTTGATGGTCAGGGTATGCTTTCATTGATAGATGTATATTTTATTCACTTTAATCATCTCCAATTTTCATCTAGCCCTTTTTGCATTGTTAAACAACACTAGGGAAGGGGTGTGTCTTCACATGTGACGCCGTTGGATTCTATGAAATGGTTGGATATAGTTAACAAGGTTTTGGTTCTACCTTGATCATGCCTTTCTTGGACAACCAGCTAAAGTCTCCTAGCTCTCGCTTATTACTTGCAAAGGTCTAGCTTCTCTCTAAATTTTAACAATATAGTTTGGTAATTATTTTGTTTATTCTGACTAAGTTACAAATCATGCGTTGTCAGTATGTTGTTACGACCTGGCAAAGACATGTTTTACTTCTGCAACAGAAAGAGATATCTACACTGTAAGTTGATTCTGCCTATTCTCTTTCCCATGTTATTCTTAATTGAGAACGTTCAAGAAACCTCAGAACAATTTCTATAAGTTTCCAGTGTAGATCCCATATGTCTGCAAGGCAAAAAGAATGTGAAACTTCTAATTTGATTTAGCCCAATGAAGTTAATTGCAAGCTCTGTAAGATGGTTCCTTAACAAGATAAATGATACCTTGTAGTGGGATCTGCTTATTGGTGTTTACTTAATGAATTTTGTAAGTAAACCATATCTATTGGATATGTGTAAAAAGCTCATGTTTTGTCATCTAGAAGTATGTATGCACAGAAAAAAAGCCTATTCCCTGCTTGCTCCCTTTTTCTTTTCCCTATTGGGTTGGTAGCCAGATAAAACAGTTTTGGTCTTAAGGTGCATTTGCAGGCTTCACTTAGGCTATGTAGTGGTGTTTGATGTCTCAGTTGTAAGTGACATTGTGTTGAAATTTTTTGTTGCAACATCAACTCTTAGATGGCCTGGTTTACTTGAAAGTTGTTTTTGAATAGTGGTGTAGAGTTCCTTATAAATTGTCAGACCACTTGATCGAGGCATTTGTGTGGGACTATGGTTAACTTGTTTCTTCCCTTTCATGTTGTATAGTCTTGCCTATTATTTTTGTTTTACCATATTTTTGGTGCTTGTAGGATGACAAGCTGGAAATTTTTGTCTTGAATGCTGAGGGAACTCGATGTGAATGTATGGAACTGAGGAAGGATTGACGTGTTGTTGTAGTTTGCTGGATCTATGGGTTGCCACAAGTGTGGAATGCTCGTAGCATAATTCGAGAGCTTTAATTTGGATGTTGGCTTGGGCTGTGTTCCATGGTTCTTAGTTATCAACCCTTGGATTTGAATTCTATGAAGATAGACGCGGGGCATGAAGCTGATATTTTGTTACCCATTTCCAAGTTTTATTTTCTTTGTTAAATTTTTATACATCTATGTTTGTCTTTAAACTATGGCATACCAAATACCCACTTTGCTATTCAGTTGCAAAAAGCACATGGCTAATGATAACTTTATAAGCCATCTTGAATTATGATTATATATGAATTATACCTCTCTTGACATTTATACATTTAAAGCACCGATACACTATCCAAACTTGTGAAAATCCTATGCTAAAAGTGTACTTTTTCTGAATAAATTATTATTTTTTATTGTTTGAAAATTGGGCAGGGCATTTTATATTTCCGCGCGAAGCGCGGTTATGCCTTCTAGTAATTACAAATGCATAAAATTTCACCACTATTTCTTTTCAAACAAGACACTATCAAGTAAAAATTCCCATCCTACAATTTCACAATAAAACTTGGAAGAAATTGAAATGGAAGGTTTTTCGATGCATAAAAAGGGTACAAAAATTTAGTACCAAAGAATTACTAGATGAAGTGCTAGATTCAATTATGCATTGAAAAGGAACTAAAACATAAGAAATGCAAAACACAAATTTTGCATTTAGATTCAAGACAAATCTCACAAAAGGAGAATTGACTTGCAGAACCAAAATAATTGAAGGCTTAATGAATATCAAGGTGATCAAGCCAAAATAAATAAATACATCATGGTAACAGGATAAAGAAACTATACTGAGAACTTGAATAGTTAGGATAGATCAAAAGTGGGGATTGAAGGTTGGAGGCATATTGTAATTGCATCATCAAAATATCACAATTGGTATATTTAAACTTTTTCATGGAGAGCACCACAAAACAGAGTTATCTTCATTTAGTTTTGGTTCAAAATTTTTGTCTAGCTGAAAACTGTCTTTTCAAAATTTTCCCTGTTTAGACCAGAGAATTACCAAATTAGTCAACTCAATTTTTTTAAGTAGTAGAGGGGTGGAATTTGCGAAGTGGGGAGGGGGAAGACGGGAATTGAATCCAAGACCTTTAATTCGTGGGTCTAATCTTAGCTACTAGACTACCTCAATAGTCAACTCAATTTATTATACATGCTTGATCAATTCAGTTTAGTCTCATGAAGTTTCTTCAGCTTACAGTAATATTTGTTTTGCTTTATGAATTGAGTATTGGATTTTGTGTTTGGCTACTCCATTGATGCATGATGGTCAATCATCGTTTGATCATCATCAATGGTGTTCTATCTCTGCACCTTCATGGTTTACTTTATCATTTACTGTATTAAATTGCGCTGCTAGTTATTGCCTTGGGCAATAGACACAAACTGTTCTATTTGCTCATCGGATTTCAATTTTCGACTTTAGGGCTTTATCCGGATTGATCGTTTTGATCCTAAAACATGGATCATACCTGGTGGTAACTCTAGAACCTACACACTGGAGAAAGAGCAGCTTTCACCTACTAGAACTATTTATGAAAGGGAGAAGAGGATGATTAAAATTAAGACCGTTGCTTATGTAATTGAGGTGCTCATTGGTGTATTCCTTTGCTCTACCAATGAATTATCAGCCTTAGCGTTTATGGAGTGGATGGGTATTGAAGTTGACTTATTTATGTGCCTTACATAAGGCCACTCCCTGCAAATCCGGAGAAGGTGGTCGATCTCAAATTTTTGAGACTCGTTTGAATCAATACTCATTCCATGATGCTTCTCTCCTTGTTGAAGCACTTACTCATGGTTCTTACACGCGACCTGAGAACCCCAGATGGTATAAGGTAATCTTTGCCCTTCATTTTTCTCATGTTGTTAACTTGTTATAAAAGTAAACCATTCTACTTGTTTTTTCAAACAATTTATGATCTTGTTGGAAATGTCTTCAGTATTTCCTCTGTTTATTTTCTCAACTTGATTGTGCATAGATACGTTTTTTTGTTATGTCAAACTTTGATTTCCTGCAAAATTGTGAAGCACTAAAACCTCATATGCTGAAATATCTTTTTGGTTCCTCATCCGGCTTTAGTATTTTTCCTTAGTATTCATTTTAGTGGTTCAAGATATATATTGCACTAAAAGAGAAGCTATTTGATGTGTATGCTGATATTATTTGCTTGCAGAGATCAGCTTTTTGAAGTCTAGTGCCATATTTCATACTACAAGCGGTGGTATTAGTTGTACTTTTTAGGTCGAACTGATTAGTTACTTGCAGGTTTGCTAGATCATTCGAGTCTATTTGAATTACCATATGTATTTTGGAGCCACCAAATGAAATCAGAATTAGCTACCGCTTCAAGGGGGAAAGGTCATATTATTACTTGTTTAGTTGATAATAGCCCTGGAGACATATGTCTTTCCGCACATGATTACTTGATTGTCATGGAGCAGAAGTTAGCTAAGAGAAGTTGGAAGCGTGAAATAAAGTACCACGTCTTTAGTAGGTAACTTCAAACAAGCTGCAGACGTGGAATACTGGCATCATGCCTTTATGAAGTAAGAAGACGTGCAAAATAAAGAAGATTGCAGGTGAAGGCGTGGAAATCAGAATCACGCCTTTCCTGGGAACAAGCTCAAGTAACGTGAGCTTCTGAGCAAGTGGCTCTACAATAGATTCTGTTAACCTCTCACATGGCTGAGCTGGATTAGAAAGCGACAAAGGAGCTAGTTGTTAGCTAACTCTATATAAAGATAGGATCAGTAGTAGACGATCAGGATTTTGTTAGCCATTGTAAGGGATCATTCCCTGAGAATTCTCTTCTTCTGTTTTCCTTCATTTCTGTCATCTTCTTTCCTTTCCCGCCAAGTCTGTAATCTTCTTATTTGATCACTATCAATATCATTTCATTGGGTTATTCATCAGTTCGTTATTTGATTCTTCCTGTTATTAATCTTTTGCTCTTCCCTAGTCTTATCAATCCATTCCATTGGGAGCAGCTCTATTGCCTAGTTACTGTTTGATACCATCACAGTGGTATCAGAGCTAACTACGAGCCATTGGGAAATGACTAAAACTCAGGAGGAAGCTCTGAGGAGGGAGCTCACTGAGTTAGGGAGTGTGGTGAGGACTTTTGCCAATAGGAATGATGGGATAGAACAGTCAGTGAGGACAATGGAGCATAAGCAGGAGAGCACAGATAAAGCCATCAAAAATTTAGATCAGAACTATGAGAGGATGATGAACATGATGGCTCAGATCATAGCCAAACTGAATGACAAGGGAAAGGAGGTAGAAGGGGGTAGTTCTGGAAGTGAGACTAGGATAGCAATTGCCACAGATACAACTAAGAGGGTGGGGAGTAAAGGGGGAGCCAGCCTACCAAAGATGGACTTCCCTACATTCGATGGGGATAATCCCAGAAAGTGGGTTAGAAGGGCAAACAAATACTTCTAGATCCATGGAGTGGGGGAAGGCTTGAAATCAGACATTGCTCAACTTCATTTCCAGGAGAAGGCAGACATCTAGTTCCATGGCATGTACCACAAGAAGGGGATAGTTCCATGGAAGGAACTAGCAATGGCAGTGTGTGAGAGGTTTGGGGAGGGAGATCCAGAGGAGGCCATAGATGAATTCAACAAGCTGATGCAGACTGGGAGTGTCACTGAGTACCTAGAGAAGTTTGAACAACTGAAATCTATGGTAATGTTATCTCTTCCTGGTCAACTTGATTCCTACTACAAATTATGCTTTCTTAGTGGCTTAAAAGAGGAAATAGTAAGTATGGTTAGGATTACCAGGCCCCTCACCTTGGCAGACACCATTGAAGCTGCTAAATTACAGGAAAGGAACTTGGAAGCCATTAGGAAAACACAAGGGAAGATGATGCACAAATACTCACCCTCACCTAGTTCCCCACCTATTAACAAACAGAATTTCACTCCACATACCAAAATGAAGTGGCCTAACTTCCAATATAAGAAGCTAGAGCATGTTTTCAGTCGAAATGCCAAAACAGGAACTCATGCAGTAGACCAGTTCAGAAAAATCACCCCCTCTGAACTGAGTTACAGGAGAGAAAAAGGGTTGTGTTTTAAGTGTGCTAAACCGTATACATTGGGGCATGTTTGCAAACAAGCTCACCTGAATTACATACTGATAGATGATCCTTGGGGGGTAAGGGAGTCCTTAGATGAACCAGGGAAGGATACAGAAGAATTCTGTGATTGTCTAAAGGGGAGTTAAGTAATGAAAATATTGAAATATCCATCCATGCACTGGTAGGGGGAACTGAACATAAGACCCTTAAGCTAAGAGGGAAGATAGCAGGGAGAGAGATCATAATTCTGGTAGATAGTGGGAGTACTCACTGTTTTATTGATGAAAGGTTAGCAAAGACCATACAACTACCAGCTATTGGGAATCCATTGACAGTCAGGGTTGCCAATGGTGAGCTGTTGGAATCTAGGCAACTGCAAGGAGCCTTACAGTGGGAAATGCAGGGAAACAAGTTCACACATCAATTTAATACCTTGAAACTGGGAAGCTGTCACATGGTTTTGGGAGTAGACTGGCTTGCCAGGTACAGCCCTATTGAGTTTGATTTCAAGCAACTCTCCATGAGGTTCCTGCAAGGGAGTCAACCAGTGGAGCTGAAGGGGGAAGTCAGTGAGCTTAAGCTCAAAGCCATCAGAGGGAGTAAACTAGCAAAATGGAGGAGAAAGCAGGCATATGGGATAACTGCCCAGCTGTATGTGATGGAGGAAGAAAAGGAGGACACTGAAGTAATTCCAGCAGAGATGAAGGATTTGCTGAACAGGTTTGAAGGAGTGTTTGCTGAGCCCCAAGGCATACCTCCAAGGAGGAGCCACGACAACAGCATTCTATTAAAAGAAGGAGCTACCCCATTCCAAGTCAGGCCATATAGGTGCCTCTATGTACAAAAGTCAGAAATAAACAGGTTGGTGAGGGAAATGCTGCAAATGGGAATCATTCAGCCTAGTAATAGCCATTTTGCATCCCCAGTGTTACTAGTCAAGAAAAAGGATGGAAGTTGAAGGTTTTGTGTGGACTACAGGCAACTTAATGAACTCACCTTGAAGGACAAATTTCCTATGCCATTAATAGATGAGCTTCTTGATGAATCACATGGCTCAAAATACTTCACCAAGATTGACTTGAGGGTTGGTTACCATCAGATCAGGGTCAAAGTGGAGGATATACACAAGACAACCTTTAGAACTCACCAAGGCCTTTATGAGTTCAAGGTTATGCCCTTTGGCCTGACAAACGCCCCAACAACATTCCAGAGCCTCATGAATCACATTTTCAGGGATCAGTTGAGGAGGTATGTCCTGTTTTTTTTTTATGACATACTGATTTACAGTCCCTCTCTGGAAGTGCACCTGCAGCAGGTAGCAAAGGTGCTAAACATATTGCAGGAACACCAGCTGTATGCCAAGAGGAGTAAATGCTCCTTCACACAAACAGAGGTAGAATACCTTGGCCACATTATCTCAGGAGAAGGAGTAAGGGCAGATCCAAAAAAGGTGGATAGTATGTTAAAATGGCCCAAAGCAGCTTCTGTTAAAGAGCTCAAAGGATTTCTTAGTCTAACAGGATATTACAGAAAATTTGTCAAGGGGTATGGAGCTATTGCAAAGCCTCTCACCATATTGCTGAAGAATGATGGATTCCACTGGAGTACATAAGTAGATGAGGCTTTCCAGAAGCTCAAACTAGCAATGTGCAGCACCCCTGTGCTAGCCTTGCCTGATTTCACCAGGCTATTTGAAGTAGAAACTGATGCCTGCTATGGAGGAATTGGAGTAGTGCTGATGCAGGACAGGAGGCCAATAGCATTCTTGAGCCAAAGCTTGGGTCCCAGGAACTTGAGAATGTCTATTTATGAGAAGGAACTACTAGCCTTGGTAACTGCTGTCACTAAATGGAGGCACTACCTGGAAGGGAGTCATTTCATTATTAAGACTGACCATCAGAGTCTTAAGTACCTCCTAGACCAAACAGTTACTACAACACTTCAGCAGAAATGGCTCACCAAGCTACTAGGATTTAGCTATGAAATTCAATACAGAAAAGGGAAAGAAAATGTAGCAGTAGATGCCCTGTCCAGGAGGGTAAGCAGAGAGGAAGGAGATTGTACCGAGCTGACATGTGTCATTCCTGAGTAGATGAAGGAGGTTATAGGAAGCTATCAGAGGGATGAAGAAGTACAGAACCTGGTCAGGCAGCTAATACTCATACCTAGTAATCCATCAGAACACTCTTATCAGGATGGAGTGCTCAGATACAAAGGCAGGATAGTGATTGGCTCAACAGGAGATGTAAGAAAGAAAATCATTGCTACAATACATGATTCACAGCTGGGAGGTCATTCTGGAATCCAAGCTAGCTACTTAAGAGCCAAACAACTGTTCCATTGGTCAGGGATGCACAAGGATATCAAGGATACCATATTGCAGTGTGACACATGCAAGAAATGTAAGGATGAGCACATTGCTTATGCTGGACTCCTGCAACCTCTTCTTATACCACAGTACTCATGGAGTCATGTCACAATGGATTTTATTGAAGGACTACTAGTATCAGAGAATAAGGACACTATTATGGTGATGGTGGATAGACTCACCAAATCAGCCTCTCACATCCTTTTGATGCACTCACAGTAGCCAGACTTTTTTTGGATCACATCTGCAAACTACATGGGATTCCCTTAAGTATGCTATCTGGCAGAGACAAGGTGTTCACCAGTCAATTCTGGACTAAACTCTTCACCTTGTTGGGTACGAAATTGAAATTAAGCACTGCCTATCATCCCCAAACAGATGGCCAATCTGAGAGGGTAAATCAAGTACTGGAAATGTACTTAAGATGTATGACACATTTGGAGCCAAAAAGATGGAATGCATGGCTCTCCCTTGCTGAGTGGTGGTATAACACTACCTACCACACAGCCATTCAGATGAGTCTATTCGACTTGTATGGAATGGCTCCCCTCCAGTTGGCAATAGGACCCTACTCTCATTCTAGAGTAGCAACAGTAGAGGATCATCTGAAGGATCGACAGAGGATGGATGGAATTCTCAAAAACAACTTGCAGGAAGCTCAAAACAGAATGAAGTTCTATGGTGACCAAAGTAGGAGTGAAAGGTCATTCCATGTAGGGGATTGGGTCTACTTGAAGTTGCAGCCATATAGGCAAATGTCTGTGGAGCTGAGGAGCAACACTAAGCTGTCTGCTAAATATTTTGGCCCTTATCAAGTGGTTCAGAAAATAGGAGAGGTAGCATATAAACTTAAGCTACCTGAAGGGTCCAAAATTCACCCTGTGTTTCATGTATCCCTGCTAAAGAGAAAAGTAGGGGAGAATACAACTCCGGTGCTCCAGTTACCAAACTTAGATGAAAAGGGACATTTGAGGGTGGCACCAGCAGCAATTCTGGATCGCAGGAGCATCAAGAGGAGAAATGCAGTAGCAGTACAGTGGCTCATTCACTGGTGGGGAACCACTCCTGCTGAAGCTACTTGGGAATATGCGGAGAAGATAAGGAGGGAATTCCCTGAATTTCAATCTTGAGGACAAGATTGATTGAAGAAAGAGCAATTGTCATCGAGCAGAAGTTAGCTAAGAGACGCTGGAAGCGTGAAATGAAGTACCACGCCTTTAGTAGGTAACTTCAAACAAGCTGCAGACATGGAATATTGGCATCACGCCTTTATGAAGTAAGAAGACATGCAAAATAAAGAAGATTGCAGGTGAAGGCGTGGAAATCAGAATCACGCCTTTCCTGGAAACAAGCTCGAGCAACGTGAGTTTCTGAGCAAGTGGCTCTACAACAGATTTTGTTAACCCCTCACATGGCTGAGCTGGATTAGGAAGCGACAAAGGAGCTGATTGTTAGCTAACTCTATGTAAAGATAGGATCAGTAGTAGACGATCAGGATTTTGTTAGCCATTGTAAGGGATCATTCCCTGAGAATTCTCTTCTTCTGTTTTCCTTCATTTCTGTCATTTTCTTTCCTTTCCCGCCAAGTCTGTAATCTTCTTATTTGATCAATATCAATATCATTTCATTGGGTTATTCATCAGTTCGTTATTTGATTCTTCCTGTTATTAATCTTTTGCTCTTCCCTAGTCTTATCAATCCATTCCATTGGGAGCAGCTCTGTTGCCTAGTTACTGTTTGATACCATCACATTGATTAAGTGCAAAACTATGTTTGTTGGGAAAATTAACATAGGAGGGGTCTGCATGCTCTGGTTCTTCAATAGCTAGATTGCTTACATGATCCTTATATCATGCACTAGTTTGAATTTGTCAATAGTTCCATACTGCAGAAGATATCACTGGCATGCCTTCCAGCAAAGATATTATTGTGGATCTTGCAGAAAAGTATGAAGAATCGCAGAAATCTTGCAGAAAAGCTTATTGTGGATTAAGTCGACAGCAAAATAGACAACTGGTCCTTGAATTCTTCTGCAGCTGTAGAGTTTCTGCCATATTAGCGGTCATATGAAGCCATCCAAGAAAATATCCAAGTGAACTTAAATGTTTCCAATAATTTGGAATTGGAATAAACTTGTGATATTTTTCTTCTCATTAACATTAATTTCATATACAAGATCAAAGAAATTAGCCCAATTGCATGCAAATATAGATTTTTTTTGACGTCTTTTTCTTTTATCAACAGGACGATTATACACCGGAATAGTCAATTTGAACTCAATTTGATACTATAAATGAATTTTAATTCTTATTCGAATTCGACCTCAAGTTCGTTGAAAATCGAACTGGAATCAAGGCTAAACTATTAGTTAAGGGTTTGATTCATCTATAGCCCTAATAGGGACTTTAGCATAGCATGACTATTGTACCCTCTTTTTATGTAATTGGTGCGTGGTGCATCAGCATCTTAAATAGTGTTTATGGAGGCAAAATGACTAGCTTATCCTCTAATGTAACCATCAATTTTTTCATTAGCATAAAAGAGGTAGCCCATCAGTTTAAAAATCAATGGAAACCTGTAATTTCTAATAAAAACTCGTTGAAATAATAGGTCTCATTCAAATCAATAATTGAATCATGTTTAAGACAATTTCAATGTGTAATAGGGAGTTTTTGGCTAAAATAACCTACTTTTCAAAAAATAATCCAAAGTAATGCTCTTTCAGTTTTTATTCCCTTGTTAATCTAGTCATTGCCACATAGGCTCCCTATCAAAGGAAAAGAATCACTTGTAGATCTTTCCTTCCATTTATTACATGATTTTTCTTTGTTTGGTGCCCCAAGGACATTCTATAAGCAAATTGAAAAAGGAAAGTGGGTTTAGAATTAGTGCTTCAAAAGTATCGACCACCTCCTACATTGCAAATTTGCAGAGGAACTTCTTTTCCTACAATTATTCCTACATAGCATTATTTTTTATCATAATATTACAAGTTCCTCTCTTTTTTCTTGTAACATGCAATTTTATATATGGCGGTCTCCTAACTTTGTACATTTTAAGAAGTTTGTAAAAATTCAAATTGTTTGACACGTGAGTAATCATTTCAAGATATGTGATGATCACAGTTTTTGTGAACAGCAAAAATTCCACTAGAGAGGGAAAAGATAATTAACAAAAAATTCTCTTGCATTTTTGGACTCATAACAAAAACCCTTTCAAAAAAAGAGAGAAAAGAGAATATAACTAGGTCATTATTAGTACCCAAGTTAACACACTATTATATGAGCCAATCTAATATGAGAAAATACTAATTAACTCAATAATAGATGAAGACATAACTTTATTTACCTTTGAGACTGTCATAAGTAGTAAAATTTAAACTGTTGAAATGTCATTAACAATCGATGCGGATTGTGACTATCATAAAGAAAGAATATAAGAGGACAACGTGGCAACAAGTAAATTAACAAAGGAATAAATTTTGAAATGCAATAATTTGGCAATAGTTTCGAAGGAGAATGTCATTGTGAAAATAAACTCGTGTAATAGGTGAAGAATCAGTTTTCTTGGCCGTTACAAGTGTAACTGAAGCCGCCTTCGAGTTCTTTTGCATTTTTTGGGCAGTTTCTTTTGGATATAATAACGGAAGTTGTTAATACTAAAGATTGTTGGTTCAGCTGATCGTAATTTGCATTTGGAGCAGCTGTTTGGAGAGGTATGTTTACTCTCTCTCTCTCTCTGTGTGCTGAGGATTAGGTATTTTTTAGAGTATTTTTCAAAAATTTGTTGTAGTATTGTATTTGAAAATTTTTTTAATAGATGTATTAGGGTGTTTTCAGGGGTATTTTTTAGATGTATTTTAGGGTATTTTTAGAATTTAAAACATTTAAGGTATTTTTTAAAAGTTTACACCACTGACTGCTACCACCAGCCGCTACCATCCTCTCCATCCTCCTTCCTCCTTTCTTTTCTCTTTTTCTCTTTCTCCCCCTTCTTCTTTCTCTCTCTTCTCCCCTTCCCCTCCTTTCCTCCCCTCCCTTCCCTTTTCCCGCTGGCACCCTTCTGCTCCCCCCTCTCTCCCCCTCCGTGACTGGTCACAGCCAAAGGGCCTCAACCAGAGATTCAGATCTAGTAGTAACTGGTCGCAATCAGAAGCTAGTCGCGACCATCTAATCGATGGCCGTGCACCAGCAACCAGATCTGAAGTGGAGGGGAAGGAGTTTCTGGCATAGGGAAAGGGTAGG